TACTCAGTAGAGGTAGAAAAGCAAATGAGATGAACAGGGCTGAGCAACTTATTATTATGTTAACACAAAATATGGGCATTTTATGAAGTTATAAGATTTATTCAGTGTGTCCTCTTTTAGCCATACATGTATGAAAGAAATATTCTCTCAACACTGCCAACATTTATTCATATTTTCTTGGAAGGAAATATACGGTTGACATTCATTAAGCGTTTGTAAGTCTTCTCAAAGCCAAACATCTGCTTGGCATCCAACGTGTTCACAAACTTCTTTCTTTAAAGGAATGTCTGTTGAGCATTTATTAGCTTCATTTGTGCTTTATGACTACCCTTTAAGTAGAACATTTATTTAGACAAATCCTTAAAGTTTAAGACAATCCCAAAAGATTCAAGAAGCGGATCTGTCTTGACCCTTTACTTAACATTCTCAGGCTATGACAGAAAGTATTCAAGGTGTCCCTTTAGACGCCTTCTTGGAGGGCCCCTCGATCGGACTCAGGTGAAAGGTTTTGCCTGGAATGCCACTCCCGAGTGAGGACACTCACTGAAGTCAAGTGTTTTCTTATGCACTATGGGGAAAAGGGCCTAAAAGGGGGTTAAACTTTGATTAGAGATGTTGCAAGTAGGGAAAAATGCTTACTTCAATTTCACTTCTGCTTTTCAGAAGACATGAGTACATAAATTATGTAGGAGAACGGTGATTACTAGACAGTCTAAAAGCTTGGAGGCTCTAGGCCAATTTTCAACCAACTGTCACAGAACATAAGTTTCAAAATATGTTTAAGCGAAACTGACAACTACAGAAAAAATGTAAGATTCTTTGAAAGGCTGGCTTATGTGAACTGACGAGGATCTCTGAAACCACATGCTATTTAACACACAGCGATACTCCGCTGCAATGTTCCCACTCTCTTCTGGAGGGAATATTAAAAGAGGTAGAACAGATGCTTCCCTGAATTAAGCAGATCCAAGCAGTAGACAGACTCTTCCCAGCACAGAGTGGCCAAAAGAAGTAGGGTTCATCCAAAGACTGAAAGGGCTAGGAGAGGTCCCCTGGCCTAGTAGCTCTCAAGCTGGAAGAAGCTAACCCAGGAAGGGTGCCTGTGTGCATGGGATTCCCACCTTTCTATGCCAGAGAAGCTCCAATCTTAACTGCTGTAGACATCCATTCTCCCTGGAATATTTGAATCACTGCTATATGCTAAGCTCTTCATTTTACAGGTCACAAAACCAAGGCCAGAGTGATTCCATTAGGTATCCAAAGTGCCAGAGCAGCAAAGCTAGAGCAAGCATTTCATAAATCCCCAGCTAAGGTGCCCTTCTATCAATTATACAACCTGTAAGACCTTAGGGCATAAAATATTGGCAGCTGAGATGAGAAAGTATTTATCTGGTACAGTTAGTTTGTAGAATAGCTCTTGATCTTAGCTGTGTACACAAATCTCCATGAGTCCTGGAGCAAGCCTTTTCCCCCTCTACCTGTCCAAGGAGTTCCAGGGAGTCTGTGAAATCCCTTAAGCGGTACATTCAATTTAACATGTCTGTGTAAAATTCATCCATAGCTTTCATTTGTTCTTCAAAAGTATCTGTGATCACACCAAATGGTAAAAATCAGTGTACCTGAAGAAGGGACTAGGAAAACTTACCAGAAAGTCCTTTAACATAACATGCATGTTTACTATTAAACTACTCAGGTTATACAGGTAAATTCGCACAGTGGTAAAAACAAAAACTGCACAGTACCTATGAAAATACAGTACTTGGTAGACTGATAAAAACAGATTTTATTTTACTTCTTGGATTTTACATAATTGAAAAAATTATTTGATGTATAACATGCAACCTTCACTCTGTAAACCAAAACCAGCACTCCAAAGCCCTGAATAATTTGGGGGTCAGGGGATTATTTCTGTCTCTGAGTATTCCCTTTAGAAACTGATGGTGAGTAAGAGATGTCATGACAACTGACAGAGAACAACTGTTTCTTTCAATTCAACTGCAGACTCTTCAGGGAAAACGCTCATCTTTATAATTCTGTCAATTAGGCAAACACTAAACACTGCCTCCTACCCTTCATGCTGATAATGTCAGGGAAGACAAGTGGCTGATGTAATCCTGAAGATGGAGCTAATGTCCAGAGCCTCATTATCCATTAAGGGAGGCTTTCCCCCTACTTCCACTCTAGCAAAGGAAGAGCAAGATGCTGAATTATCTTCATGTGTGGACTGACAAGAAATAAACTGTAAAGTCGTCTGAGGGAAAAACCTAGAAAGCCAGCATGAACATAAACTAATTTGAGAAACAGTGCCCTACTGTGTTTTGAAATAATATTCAGTATTTATCCAGAGGGTTTCTTATAATGGAGTAAAATAGAGAATTTCCTGAGGCTAGGAGATTACAATCATCTGAGAAACCAGGAGTAAGAATGCATGCATTTAACTGCAAAGAAGGATATGCAGAACTGCCCACCTATTCCTCACAGTGAGGAATCACCATGGAAATTATGCTTCAAGGTCAGTAAGCTAAATGACAAGAAGATGGTCTGTGCCAATAGTTTAAATGTCAAACGGCACCGGGCCAAGAAGGTGCACAGATATAAATCGGGCAGTGGCACTGATGTAATTATGGGCTTAGACGAATTCTCAAAGCCAGACCGGAAGCTGAACCACAGTCTTTGGGGCAAAGGAGAATATGAAGGTAATTAGAGGAAAAAAGCAGAGGAAAGTTTTTTACTTTTTTTAAAAAAACCCCTAAAACTCTAAATAAAACTCAATGTCTGCAGCGGGACCTTCATGGTCCTCAAACATGCATAAAACAGGATGGAGGGAGGAAGGGGCCACCCACATCTTTATAAGCTCAATGTCAGAGGAGAGCTGCACGTGCACGGCAGTGTGTGTCCCTCCCAGGGGCCTGGGACCTGGAGGGGTGCTGAGGTCCATGTGACTTGTGAGCATCCAGGACGAGGATCTCAGAAGGGAATTTCACAAGCACAGAACATATTTTTTTCTCCCTGGACTCTGCTTTCTAGTTTTTCTCTCCCTCTGCTATTGTTTAATTTTGTGGTTCGACTTTTTGAAGAATGGTGGGAGGTACTGTGTTAAGCAATGCTCTAGGAATGAGGCTCAGCGGCGATGAAATCGGCCTCCCACGTCTTTCAAACCAACTGTGAGTCTGCTTAAAACACAAGGCAGACACAAATATGAAGGAGAGCAGGTAGGACGTCCTGTTCATCCTTGTATGTGCAGCCTCTCCCCCCAGCACACAGTCGGCACAGAACGGATGCCGGCTCAAGGGAACCGGTCATTTTATCTAAACAGCTCTGTGGTCCGTTCTGTTTCTGAATAGAGCCAACAGCCATATCACTTAATGTGCTTTTTGAGCAATCTTTTGTTGATCCTTGTGCCTCCGTTGATGAAAGTGATTAAACAACCAAGTCTGACACAAAATTATCCTGATGGGAGAGCATCAGAGTTGAACATGGACAAGAGATTTACAAAGGAACCAAGAAACATCACTGGAAAAGCAGATATTAAAAAATCATGAGTATCCTCATGCTTTTAATTTTTATTTATTTTTAACGTCTTTGTTGGAGTATAATTGCTTTACAATGTTGTGTTAGTTTCTGCTGTATAACAAAGTGAATCAGCTATATGTGTACGTATATCCCCATATCCCCTCCCTCTTCTCATGCTTTTTAAATAAGACAATCAAGAAAATAATTTCCAATTTTTTCTTCATGGTTAAGCAGAGTCTGATTATTACTAGTACTAAATATCTGTACACTGTACTGCCTAAAAGCTTTATAGTATTTATTAAGACATGCCACAGAGAAGAAAAATGAAATGAAATAATTAGATTCCTAGGAATAATAAGCAACCCTCTTAATGCTCTGAGTATAATATAATTTTATAGGCTGAAATGACACTTATCAAGGATATTTATTAAGTATGGCTTAAAGTATATTTCACAAAGACAACCCACTGAAATTTAGGAAATACCTATAAGGCATGGCTTATAAGTTTGGAGACAATATCATATACAGGATATTTAAGTAAATAAAGCCTGGACCAAAAAAAGTTTTAAAAAGCAGAAGATTCTTTTAGTCATAAATATATTTTAAGAGAAAAAATAAAGTTTCACAAATAAAGTTTGTAAAACAAAGTTTGCCAATAGCACAGTTTTAAAGATAACATTAAAAGCACAGATTCTCCAGAAATTCTCCAGAAGCCCTGCTAGTATTTCATCTCGCATGAAGAGAAAGCAGTTTGAGAAACTGCTACCCAACGCCTAGTCTGACCAGCTGGTAAGATCAGTAAGTGGGTGGCAAAGAGGAAAATCCTTGCATCTCATGGTGACCAGAGGGGAAGAGACTGGGCATAGTCATAAATATACTTTAAATTTTATGAAGACATTGTTAAAACAATTTAGTCAAAGACATGAGGAAGATTCTTTGACAAGAAGTTCAGGAAGGATTGGAGCTAAACAGTTCACAAAAATACACTTCTATGGAGTAGGCCTTGACACCTCAAAACAGATCATAATTTAGGATATAGGCAATATTATAAATTAGAGGGCAGAAGATTATATGGTCAATAAACAGCCTTCAGAAGAATGCTCAGCTATTTGGAAAATGATTGTTAGTGTCTCCCATCATGCATTCCCCCAAATAAGTCCAAACAACAGAATCAAAGATTTAAGTGTAGAAAACAGAACCTTTAGAGAAACAACCCTGGATGGAAATGCAGGTAAATAAACACAGAATGGCAAGAAACCTGCCAATTCAAATTATGAACAATAATCATTAATGATTGTCAGGACTCAGTTTCAAAACTCTGCTAATAAATGCTATCCCAGTTTGTGAACCCTGAGTGAATGAATTAATGAATAAATAACCTGACATTTATGGATTCTGGATAAAATAACTTCAAGGAACTTTAAAAATCAAGAACTTAGGATCCAGTTGCTCATTACTGAAATCTGACAATACCGTGGAGAACTTACCTGCAGCAAATAACAGCTTTGCACGACAAAGCTAAGTCCAGAAAATACTGCCGTACTCCAAAAGTTAAGGCATACTTGAGAGTTTTCCCATCAATTATAAGAGCAAAGTCATTCTCCTTCCGAAGAGCATCACCAAGGGTAGTGCAGTGACGACTGAGAGTTTCCCTTGTTCCCTGTAAAATTAAATGAAAGATGCCCTCAACATTTACTCCCATTTGTTCTACCAAGGTTGTTCAGCAACTACTTTTAGTTATTTTTAGTGCTTTTTATGTTTCAAATTGCTTTCACATACCTCTACTCATCTGATTCTCACGAAAGCCCCTCAGAGAAGACTGGACAAACATTATCAGAAAGAGTGAGTGACTCCCTTAAAGCCATACGCTGTTCCTAGCACGGTTGGGACTTGACTACATGTCACCCATTCCCCTGCCATCTTTGCTCATTATTCCAACCACCCGGTCACAATCTTCTTAAAATATTTTCAGTACATTATCTTGTTAAAGCATAACAACATTGAACTAGTCAAAACTGCTTAGCTATGAATCAAGGGGAAAAGTTGGGGAATATAATTTAAATAACTTATGGGTATTCTTTCAGAAGTTGTCAATGCGACTGAACTTAATTCCCAAGAGGAGGAAATGTAGTATCTGTAATCTCTTGCCACTTCATGAATTGGCGTCTATAACTTTAATCGTGATTTCATGATGCTGTATTTCAGCTGGGGATGGTGACATGTGGCCTAGTAATCTTGACGGATTGAATAAAAGAACCCCTTCCATCAATGAAGAGTTCATTTTCAGGCACAATAAAAACCTTTAGTGTCAAGAAAGGCTTTGTTCACCTCAGCTATATAGAGAGGTTGTATTTGTTTCCCTCTGTTAAGAACTATTGCTTTCCCAGCTCTTCAAAGGGAAAAAATTTCAAGATACTTAATTTTTCTCCCTAGATCCTGTAGACTTTTCCTATAACCTGATAGGGACAGCTTCTTATTTCAACGGAGCCCTAACATTATGAAGACACAGAACATGGGCTCTGCACAAGGAAATGTAAGGAACAATTACTTTCCTATTAAAGTTTTGTTCTGAGTGCTAGTATCTGAGCCCGCAGTTATTTATATAATAAAATTAACAAATCTATGTTTATATAATAAAATATACCTATAGTAAAAAAAAATAATAATAATAATTTTTGTTATATTCAAAGGAGATATAATTATTGTTCCAATTTAAGACTGTGGTACAGTTATCTGAGTTATCTTCACAAAGAGGGAAGCAAAGACAGAGGAAATTAAAATTTTATATTGGGGATTTTTGAAGGTGTTTCTACATTCGTATTTCAAATGTGGTTCACACTATGCTCTGGAATTTCAGGATCTGTTTATCGAAATAACAGAACAGTGTTGTACCGTAAAGTAACCAAGCCCAACCCTCCGAACACTGGAACTTCATTTAACACTTCCCCTGTTCCTTGTTACACACAGTGACATGAAGGATCACCACACAGCAGCATTCTTTGCAAAATTTTCTGTTCACACTTTACATTGGGGGGAAAGAGCTGTTTTAATTTACAGGCCTCACTCTCCTATTTCCTACTGGGAATTTTTGGCCCAAGAGAATTTTAGGAAAAGGAGGTAAAAAGTGTCAGCAAGATTCTGCAAGCAAGATTTATCAATGACTATCCACAGCAGATTACCCTGGATTGTCTTAAAAGCAAATTCCCATAGATGAAATGAACAAACAAGCAGATTAATACACAGATAAAAAATGAAAATAAAATAAAACAATATTTAGCATGTACCACACACGAGTCATGGTTCTAAGGGCTACACACACAGATATAGTATTTCAGTTAACACTTATTACAACCCTGTGCAGGAGGCACAACTATTGTCCCCATTCTGCAGATGATAAGCATGAGACTTAGAGTTTAATTTCCTTGCCCCAAAACACATGGCTACTAAGTAGTGAAACCAAACTCAGAATTAAATTTCTGTACTAGCTAGTCTTTCTCTACATTATCCAGCAAAAACAAAACCAACAGTACCAGGCATAGCAAATCATAAGTGGAATCCCCATACCATTTCCCCTGTTGTTTCCCTAGAGCCCTCATCATCTGTCTCTCATCTTCTTTACCACCAACAGAGCCTTCTCTTTACAAAACAAACTTGAAACACAAATGAGTCTCTTCTTGCTCTAAAATTTTTCAATGGCTTCTACTGCTTACATGATAAAGTCTAAAATCCAAGTCCAGCTAACTTTCGTTCGCTTTTCTCTCCACAACCCTGACTCCTTTATTCCCTCCCTCTGGACCACCCTTTCCTCCTGAGATATTCCACTATCTTTGAAACCAAGCTGTCCTCCCAAGCCCTCCCAGACTCACTCCATGCTATCATGTGTAATTCACTCTATGCTAGCAAGACCCTCAGTTCCTTGAGGGGAGAGACAATGTTTAATGTGGTTTCCAGCCACAAACAGTGCCTGTAATTACAGATGCTCGGGAAAGACATATTTATGGAATGAGAGCACTGATAAATTTTGATTTCACCCCACTGGAAGCGCTCTATTTCCCCTCTATTATCACTTCTGATTTGAGAGACAGTCAGTCTTCTCCTTCGTGCTCTTTAATTTTCTAGAGAATAATAGGGATTATTACTTCAACAGTCTTTCAAACCAAGGCACTGTCCACTGAAATGCATGTGTGTGTACCTGTGTATTTATTTGCTTGCCTGCCTATCTACCTATCTACTTACCTATGCATCCATCTATCATCCATCCATCCATCCGCTACTCTGTTTTTTTAAGTTTTGCCCAAGTCACTCCTGATCTGAAAACCTAAATGAAACCTGAGATGTACCTCAGGAGGACTTCAAATTTCTTTATAGATCAGCTGCAAAGCAAGACTCAAAGTCAAGTAAACCCCTGGCTGTGCAAGCCCCTCATGATCCAGCCTGTTCGACACAGTCCTGTGCACCCCACTCTCCCTTCTTCTGAGGGCGTTCTCTAACATCTTGAAATGTATTGAGAACTCATTTGTGGCGTCAGCATCCCTAACACCTTAAAATGTATTGAGAACTTATTTGTGGCGTCAGCATCCCTGGGCTTTCTGGGTGATTATCACAGATCTGCAGCAAATCAAAAGGTGTCAGGAGATGTAACAGAGAACACATTTCAGAAGGTGAGTCAAAATCTTCGCACAGTGAATTCTCCAGTCGGCCTACCTAGGGCGCAAGGTAACAACAGAAAAGCTGCAAACACTTTCTTATTTTCGTTTACAGTTTTATTTTGTAAGCAGCTCTGTTGTTGGCTGTGTGCTGCCAGTTACATGTTATATTTCACCCTTATTTATACTGCCAGGAGTATTTTAAAATTCTTTTATTTATGAAAGTTTATTGCTTCTCCCCTAAGCCTGGGAGCCATACTTTATGGCCATATTGCATTGAAGCTTATCTCCTGTAGCCAGAAATAAATTTATTACTACATTAGCTGTTGCTTTGTTTTCTTTTTGGCTACCGAAGGGGGAAATGTTTAAACGTTTAAACTTAGTGACATGTGAAAGTATAAATATATAAATAAGAAGCTAACTCAGAAGGATAAAAGACCACAGAGTACAACAACATAAACGCTCTGTACCTCCTTACGCTACAAAGTCTTATTTGTGGGCTGAAAGAAAAGGAGCATTTGTTGCTATAATCAGGGAGAGTCAGAAGTAAAGGCAGTTTGGGGAGACAGACAGGCATTCAGGCGTCTCACCAGGCGGGGACCCCGGTGTGGGAAGGAGCTGCAGGGAAAGCGGGATTTGCCTGCACCTCTCACAGCCTGCATCCCACGTGGACACGACAGCTGAGCATTCGGCTCCCCTCTCCCTGTCCACGGGCTGCACCTAGCCAAGTGCTCATCAGGGGCCCTTATGAGCTCCTCCAAGCTTTCCTGCTTTGCCAAGTCACAGTTAAGTCTACAGCCAACACTTCTCTGTTCTTAGTCCTGACACAACAGGGACTAAGAAGGGAATAAAATCACCTCCCCCTGAGGACAGGCTCTACTCCAGCTGTCCCCTCTTATATGGGTGCTCATTACTGCTGATCTATACTTTCACCCAGGCCTAGGTGATTCCACTGTTCCCAGAGGTTACTCCAGACCTTTTCTTCCCTTCTTCAGACTCCAAATTTGGCTCCTGTTAGTGCAGCAAACATCTCCCCGCTTTACTGAGAACATTCGTAAATTATTCTCTCAACTTTCCTCTCTTAACCTCAAAACTCCCCTTACCTAATCCTCCCTAATTCCTGAGCTGGGAGGAAGACCTGCCTTCTTTTCTCACCTCTGTTCCTCCCTCGTCTCCCCTGCATCTTTACTCTCCCCCACTGTCACTCTTTTTTTTTCCCTTAAGACTACATACGGGGGCTTCCCTGGTGGCGCAGTGGTTGAGAGTCTGCCTGCCAATGCAGGCGACACGGGTTCGAGCCCTAGTCTGGGAGGATCCCACATGCCGCAGAGCTACTGGGCCCATGAGCCACAGCTACTGAGCCTGCACGTCTGGAGCCTGTGCTCCGCAACGAGAGGCCGCGATAGTGAGAGGCCCGCACACCGCGATGAAGAGTGGCCCCCGCTCACCGCAATTGGAGAAAGCCCTCGCACAGAAACGAACACCCAACACAGCCAAAAATAATAAATAAATAAATAAACAAACAAAAAGCTGACGCAGCCACAGATAAAATAAATTAAAAAAAAAAAAAAAAAAAGACTACATACGGAAAGCAATGAACAATAAATAAACCAAGAAACGTCCCCGACTCTATTTTTCCTGAGTCCTCCAGGTGACATGATTACTTCCACCTTTTGGATTCTCCAAGTATGTGTTTATACTTATACAATGTAGCGTGATGTATAATTGCTTATCTGTTTATATCTCTCCTTCCCTGCAGGACTGAGGCCCTTGATAAAGAGATGAAATAAAATCAATACAAGTTTGGTAATAAAAGAATAACCAAATTATTAATGATTGGAGAATACCTTGTGGGAAGTTACAATGATGTTGTTGTGTGACCATTCTGAGGATTGTTTTTTGCTGCCTGTAAGACTCCTGTGTAATCTTGGATACTTTTAATTAGAGCAATAAATAAAATATTAGTGTGCTTATTTCATTGCAGAGGAAATGGAGAACAAAGTGGTGGTTATGA